CCGGTCAAGCTCAAAGGTCTCGCCCAACAGCGGATTGAACGGTTTGCCTGCAGGCAACGGTGGTGGTGGCAGTGGTAACGAGTGAGGAAGAGGACGGAACGGGGCGGGCAACGAGCTTGGGCATACAAATGCCACACACACACACACACACACACACACACACACACACACACACACACACACACACACACACACACACACACACACACACAAACGCAACACGTTCACTCCTGGCTGTGCTGTGCGACCTGTTCTGTCAGCGCCGGAGGAGAAAGAGGAGACCGTGAAGGCGGCGACATACACCATGCGCTGCTGCGAGGACGTGGCCCTGACCAAGATGGGATGTGGGGGGAAGGGTGGTGTTGACGGGATGTGAAGGAATGTGAGCTTGGATAAACGGAGAAAACGAGGCAGAGCGGGACAGAGGCGATTGGAGGCGACATCGTGGCAAAAGTGTGTTACGTGCGTGACATACATGTGTGTGTGTGTGTGTGTGTGTACGTGTGTGCATGTTTGAGCTTACTTTGCGGCCTTGTCCAGGAGATGCGCGTACTCGAGGTCTTCGCTCAGCCGCTGCGTGAATGAAATCGGCTCGTTGAAGTTGACCGGCATGGGGATCTTCGACAGGTCCTGCACGCAATGGCGGTGGTAGAGGGCACGTGTTGGTGTGTATGATTGTTGGGTTTGTGTGAGGAGTGTGTTTGTGTTTGTGTGAGGAGTGTGCTTGTGTCTCATCGTGTTCAAATGAATACACCTGCAATCACACACCAAACACAGCACAATGCCATTCACCCAAACACAACACCGTCACGGCTCCAGCGCACCTTGCCGATGCAGTTCTTCATGATCCCCCACAGGCTGACGCGCTTGTTTGGCTTGAACGGAATCGCCCGCCGGAACTCAAACTGAGGGAGGGAGAATGGGGGAGAGGGTGGGGGGGGGGAGGACGTGTGTGTGGTGGGGGGGGGGTGTTGTTGTTGTTGTTGTTGTTGTTGTTGTTGTTGTTGTTGTTGTGGGCACAAGTTCGTGAGGGTTGGCATGACAACCTCACAAACGTCGATACAACAACATCGACGATACAACAACCCCAATAGCAAGGGCAACAACTACGAAGCACGAGCACATCGCGCGTTGGTGGTCTCGAAACCACCCAGCAGCAGCAGCAGCAGCAGCAGCAGCAGTAGCGATGAAGTCGCCAACCAGCATACCGGCTTGCCGCGGTGGGCGTGGCCGACAAGAGCGGACGCGGGCGGACCGGAGAGCCGGCGCGAAGATTTTCCGGACGTGGAGAGATCGCTCTGGGCATCAAAGAACTCGTCCTCTTCCTCCTCATTGCGCTCGGTTTCCTCTTCAAGCTGAAGAGTTGGAGCAGCGCCCACGATGATGGTGGCGATGGTGGCGATGGTGGCGATGGTGATGGGAGGGTCGGGGATTGGTGGTGGGGGCGGTGGGTGTGTGAGTTGGAAGAGGACGCGGTGATTGTTTCAACGACTACAAGACAGCATCACCAATCACCAATCACCTCTGCGGCGTCGACGACGAGCCCCTTCTCCGCGGCGATCTCGGCGCTGCGCTCGAGCCGGCGGTGGTCCCGCGCCAGCGATTCCTGGCAGCAAGCACACACACACACACACATGCACAGACACACACACACACACATACACATGTACACACACACACACACATGCACATGCAATTATGAGGAGAGGAGAGGAGCGGGAGGGGTGGTAGAGTAGTGATGGGCAGGCGGTCGAGTATCGACAGGGCACATCACACGGAACCTCACTGCACAATCGCCCCATCACAACACATCAACATCACTTGAAACCTGACGACACGGCAACTTGCTACCATGCCCCCTCCCCCAAATCGCACCAGCGCTGCCTCGAGGTCGTTCCTTCGCTTCTCGCTCGACGTGAGCGCTTTCGCCCATCGCGTCTCCCGCTGCGAGACCTCATCCAGGAGCGACGACACAGCACGTCGCAGGTCCCTGTCGTGTTGAGGGGAGGGAGGTGGTTGAGAGTGAGTGAGTGTGTGAGTGTGTGTGAGTGAGTGTAGATGGAGGTGTGTTTTTGTACATGAATACATCATCATCATCATCATTAGAAATGCACATTGCATGGTCATGCACTGCACTGCACGAAAACAAACAAACAAACACACACACACACACACACACACACACACACACACACACACACACACACACACACACACACACACACACACACACACACACACACACACACACACACATACACACGCACGCACCTTGTGCTTCCTGATTTGCGGTTGGCTTGACGGAGGTTGCTTGCCATTTGCTGTCATGGCCCAAGATGAGGCATGAAAGAAATCAGCGCATCGTACTTCAAGGAACATGGCACAACACACTTCATACCACACACCACACCACGCAACAGGTTCCAACGTGCGCCATCCAGCACACACCACACAGCATGATAAGAGGCACGAGTGCAAGCGCACCTTGGCCAGCTGCAGGGCGTTGATCCAGTCTTGTCGCTCTCGGTCTGAGTTGGCGCGGAGGTGGAACACCTGGCCCGTGCGCTTTCCGCCTAATGAAGCGAGGCCGCATCGCAACACAATGAAGCGTGAGCGCCAACTCACCATCACCACACCGCATGCATGTGCAAAAGCAGGTACCCTGAGGTTCACCCTGAGGTTCACCCTGAGGTACCCTTTGGTGTACCCTGAGGTATCCGTTGGTGTACCCTGAGGTATCCTTTGGTGTACCCTGAGGTATCCGTTGGTATCCACAAGCGTCTTCCTCCCCATCACCACTGCACCACCACTGCACCTGCACCTGGCTGGATGACGAGGTTGTTGCCTGGGGCGGTTTCGATCTTGGCATCGAGCAGGTTGAGGGACCCGCGGCACCCCTGCGCCATCTCACTTGGGGATCTGCAGTTTAAGCGCATGGCAGTGTCGTCATGAGTTGCGTATGGTCGAAAGCAGCAAAGCGAGTCAGTTTGCGTGTCTCTTGTGTGTTGAGTGTCTTGCGTGCCTCTTGTTACGTGGCTTGCGTGCGTGTTGCAGTGAACACCAACGACCATCACACACACACACACACACACACACATTCACACACACACACACATTCACACACACACACACATTCACACACTCACACACACACACATTCACACACACACACACATTCACACACATTCACACACACACACAAACTCACACACACACACATTCACACTCACACACACATTCACACACACACACACACAGACACAAGCAAACACACCTGTAGTAGGCGAGGGAGCGGCCATCCAGCACAAAGTATCTGCGCTGGAAGCCCTTCATGTAGTTGGTCCATTTCAGCAGGTACCCTTCCTTGTGCACGGCTGTGGTGTGCAAAGGAAAAGAGGGAGGGGACGGGGGTGAGAGAGGCAATGCAATGAAAGAACACACACGTCGTTGTTGCAAGCAGCGCCACACCATTCAACCAACCATCCATCTATCCAGCCATCCATCCATCCATCCATCCACTCATCACGCCACCACTTCACTCCTCGCCATTGTTTCAGCCGAACCACCACTTCACTCCTCGCCACCATCATCATTGTTTCAGCCGAACCACCAACCAACCTTCTGTCATCACCGCTTGTTGCTTGCTTCCGTTGATGTAATTTATGCTGTCGCAGCAGCAACTCAGACGCACGACAAGCAAGCAAGCGGCAGCGAACACGCGTGCACAAAGACGAGGATGAATCGTGTATTTGCAAGGGTGTTGCGGAGAGCAGGATGTTCTCGGGCACACGGAGAGCTTCCCGATGATATCGGCTTCATTGCGAGGAAAAATCTGCTTGGTGGTCTGGGGGCTTGTGACATGAACCCTCCCTGTTGAGGGGATATGTTGATCTTGTTCGGGGGCTGTGCACTGTTGGGCGTTGTATTGGTTGGGAACAATGGACACGCGCACGACAACCGTGACGGCAACGAGAGCAGTGACAGCAAAGAGACAGGGCATCGATCAGGGACAGGGCGTCAATCAGATATCGCCTTCAGCGTCGGCCGCGATGGGGGGGGGGTGCATCCAAAGCCAGTAGTTCCTCCAGACAGTCAACCACTCCAATCGACAGCCTCAGTCGACCCTGGTGCCAGCGGTAGTTGGCGCCGCAGCGACAGCTGGGGCTGTTGTGGTTGACTCCACATGTGTGTGTGTGTGTGTGAGAGCTGTGGAGGCTTGAGTGGTTGTGCTTTTGCTGGGTGTCCAGTCAGTAATGATGCGCATGATCGCAGGTGTAAGGTCATCAACGGGGTGTGCACGAGATGCAGAGAGGGTTCAGGCGAGAAATGGCTCCTCTTGCGGTGGCTGTTCCTATTGCTGCTGGTGGTGGTGGTGATGGCTGCTGCTGCTGTTGCCCTTGTCGTTCCTGCACCATTCGTTTGATCGCATCTGCGCGCGTCAGGCGCTGTGCATGCTCTCGGTGCAGCTGGTCCAGGATATCCTAATCTGTTCCTGAGTGCTGAGCACCGCTGAGTGTATGTGTGTATGTGTGTGTGTGTGTATGTGTGTATGTGCATGTGTGTGTGTTGTGTCTGTGTGTTGTGTGTGTGTGCAAAACACATAGGTGGGAGGCGACACACGTGCATAAACAGGCATGGCCAGAGCAAGCACATTAGTCGGAAGTGCAAGAGCCACCAGATCACTCACAGCCACACGCCCCACCTGTATGTGTGGTGGCGGCACCGCGGTCGGTCCCGCTCGATCCTGGATGAGTGCAGCTGTGTATGCAAGATTCTGCTGTTGGAAAAGGGAATAGCAACAGCAGCCACCCGATGGGCCTGGTACAACAGAACACACGACAGCGATGATTGTGGTTTGCAGCAGTAAGGGACGTGTGCGTGCGTGTGTGTGTGTGTGTGTGTGCGTGCGTGTGTGTGCGTGTGTGTGTGTGCGTGTGTGTGTGTGTGCGTGTGTGTGTGTGTGCGTGTGTGTGAAGGTGAAACAGCACAGCATGTGAATTAAATGTGGCAGGTGTACGCACCGCTTCTTCACGATGATGTGGAGCAAAGAGCGCCTGCTGTCGCGGCCCATGATAGAGTTGATCATCACCATGATCGTCTCCACAGCACCCCTGCAATGTGCGACGCCAGGTGAGCTACTCACACCCGATGACGAGGACAAGCAACATGCGCTCACGCACATGAAACACCTGCACGCACGCACACATACGCACACGCGCCCGTAAGCACGCACACACAACGATGTACACGTGCAAAGCATGCACCCGCGTGTACACAATGCCAACCTCAAACTCGCACTCGGTGTCACAATACCACAGACACAGGCATGCTGTGGCATCTGCGATCGTTGCGCACCAATCATCGGGCTGCGCTCGAATTTTCACGAGAACGGAAGAAGAAGGACCATGCCATCGTGCCATCATGATGTGAATGTATGCCTCTGCTGTGGCCGTTACACTGTCTCCCCAAGAGTGAGTGAGGGCTTGAGGGTGCTGTTGTGTGTTGTGGTGTGCTGGGTGCTGTGTTGTGTTGTGGTGTTGTGTTGTGCTGTGTGCTGTGTATGCGGAGGGGTCTTGCTGCAGCACCAACCTTGACCAAAGACTGCATTGCACTGTCCACATGGCCAATTGGTTGTCCTGACTTCTTTGTGTGGCTTGGGTTTGTTGTCACATAATGCTGTCATGGATATTGTAGAGGGTGCTACTGAACACACGCTTGGGAACTCCCATCGCGCCTGTCACGCCACGATACGCCACCGCTTCCTCCAGTAAGCACCACGACCACAAGTTACATGTCTTCTGGCACGCTCACTTGGGTTCACATCCATGATCCTATGATTCAGACGCGCACGCGCACGCAAACATACAACACATACACACATGCACAATGATATTCACCTTGCACTCGCTGGCAGCTGCGCTACTTGACACCGGCACATATACACACACACTGTCAGTGTCTACTGCATCCAGCTCAGCACATTTCACAGCCAGGTTCCTCTGTGGTCGTGTGTGATCGACATGAGCATGGTGCTTGCAGCACAACTGCATGCCAAACAACAACAACAACAACAACAACAACAGCTGCAGCAACAACAACGCCCAGGCGCCCCTCGCGTAATCCACAGTCATCGATGAAACAAAGACAGCGCGAACAGCCATCAACACGGCTGCTATACTTGCTGTCCTCCAGTGCCTCTCTGAGTTGCGCAGCCCCACGAGCCAGGACGGCCCTGACCTGGCCTTTCGCAGCGTGCGCGTATCTTGATGCGAGCGCGTCCGTTGGGTGTGAACAGCACTGCGTGCGAACAACACTGCGCACGCAGCACTTGCACGCCACACGCTAGTTTCATCGTGTCTTTCACTCTCAATGAAACGTCAGCCTACTCCAGCACACTGCGACAGGCAACCCCCACCTCCACGTTCAGCATCCCCAACACCGCAAGCGTGTGGCAAACCATGACCGTGACATTCACAATTGATGAGCGCTGCCGATGCCAGCACCAGCGACCGCGCATGCAGCCACCATGACATCCTAGTCATGGGAAAGACCCCGTGGTGTACACGTGCTCCTCCGGTATCGTCATTTACTACAACACCACATCCAGCAGCACGCCCACCATTCCCTTCACATTGACCCCGTTCATGTGCGCATGCCAGGCTGATCAGACCTACACCGACACGGAGCTGGCCTGCCGCGACATCAGCGAGTGCAACCCAGGCGCGGTTGAGTGTGCGGGTGTCGGCGAGTGGGTTGGCCCAACGTGCAGTGATGACACCAACAGGCCGCCAGAACGCATCTCCCTCGGCACCACGCGCGTGCCAGAGAACAGCTTCCCGCTGCCTCTCATCACTGTCCCTGTGGATGGGTCGGCCATCGAGGCTGCTGTGTGTGCAAAAAAACACCGGCGCCATTGCCCAGCTGTTGGCTGACTTTCTTGTGCGCGTCAACGTTGAAGATACAAACTACGCGCCAACAGCCCTGCTACCTGATACCACCAGTATTGCGGAGAACATGCCTATCGGCACCACCGTGGCCCACATTACTTTTGTGAACCTCAGGCAACGCACCGTACAGCGACGCGAGCAACACTGGCTTTGAACAACCTGTGCGTGAGCTCGTACATGCATGCGTGTGTGTGTGCGTGTGTATGTGTGTGTGTATGTGTTTGTGTGTGTGTGTGTGTGTGCGCGTATGTGTGTGTGTATGTGTGTGTGTGTGTGTGTGCGCGTGTGTATGTGTGTGTGTGTTTGTGTGTGTGTTTGTGTGTGTGTGTGTGTGCGTGTGTATGTGTGTGTGTGTGTTTGTGTGTGTGTTTGTGTGTGTGTGTGTGTGCGTGTGTATGTGTGTGTGTGCGTGTGTATGTGTTTGTGTGTGCGTGTGTATGTGTGTGTGTGTGTGTGCGCGTGTGTATGTGTGAGTGTGTTAGTAAGTGTGTTTGTGGGTGTGAGCTGCGCGTGCATGTCTGCGTGTGAGCATGTGAATGTGATATCTGAGTCT